GGCCGCTGGCCACCGCCCAGGCCATCTCAGTTCATTCAGAACGCGATTCGCGCAGCCCCGGGGAGGTCTATATCATGTTTTTGTTTTGCACTGGACGCGTGCCACCGAGCAGACCGTTGCAGCGCGCCCATCGGGCGGTTCGCGGCCCCATACGCAGCGCCCCAAGGGTTTTGTCGCACAGGGCACATGTTGCCGCCCAGACTATTTCAGATCGCTTGTCATGTGTTTCGTGGCGCCATAAAAAAAAGGCCCCGCCGAAGACGCTTGTGACGCAGGCCGCGCGCCGCCGCCCGGACCACTTCAGCTGTTCTCGCACGATCTGCGGCCGCATTCGGGAACTCCATTGAAAAGTCTCCAGGCACAAACCGCGCGCCGCCGCCCAGACCATTGAGTGCACGCCCCACGCAGTTCGTGGCCCCATACGGACCGCCGAAAGCGTTTGCGGCACGTGTCGCATTGCGCCGCCCAGACCATTTCAGCAACATTGCTCGCGTGCTCAGTCGCCAAATTTGGAGCGCATGCCGCATGCCGCCGTCCCCAGCCAATTCAGCGTTGCCTCGCGCGGTCCGCGGGCCCATGCGGAGTTCCACCGAAGAATATTGTGGCGCAGGCTGCTCGCCGCCGCCCATGCCACTTCATCGCGGTCTTCGCGCGGTCGGTGGTTTCATGGGGGGCTCCACCGAAGGCCCTCGTGGTAGATTTCGCATGCGGACTCGCATGTGTCGGGCGGTCCTGTCTATGTTTCGCACTGCGTTCAGACATAGTTGGCTTTTTTGTCTCGCGAGGTTTATTCTGTTTTGGAGCGGCAGAAGGGAAGAAACGGACAAATGGACCAGCACGATGGGAATGAGCGATGACCGAGGTCGTTTCTGGAAGGATGATGCGGGCGAGGGGCGCCTCCGATGATTGGCGCTCAGACTGCGCTGTCTTTCAGCATTTGAGCGAGCAGCACCTCCCAGTCACATTATATTCTGGCGAGGCTCGGAGCTGACACTGTGGGCGGACGGCGCTGGAGGAAGGATCAACGAGGGGGGCTCAGGAGCAAAAGGGAGGGGGGGGAGGGGCAGAGACGGGGGCGGCGGGCAGGGTTGAGGGTGGGGGCCAGAGGGCTTGCGGGGGAGCCCAGTGGAGGCCCCGCGAGGGCCCCCATGGGCCCGCGGTGGGTCTGGACCCCCCCCCCCCCGCGGCGGGTCCGGACTCCCCTCGGCATCGTTTTTTTTGTAAACGCGTCTGAGAAGACTGCCGAGGGAGTCCGAACCCACCGCGGCCCCCATGGCGCTCCCGCGGCGGTGGGTCCGGACTCCCCTCGGCAGTGGTTTTGGATATGTCTGGAGGGCCTGGCACGGGCTCGGCAGGGCCCCTTGGGGCCTTCGGTTCCGTCGCGACTGGGGATCCAAAGCGCTGTTTGGGTCCCAGAGTTGTCGTGTCGTTCGGGGTGTGGGCGGGGGAGTCAACCGATGTTGCCTCCAGATTACGCCACACTGGGTGCGCGAGAATGAGCTGGTGAAGCCTGAGCAGGGACGTGGGCCGTCCTGGAGCTGTTTTGAAGTCATGTAGCAGTGCCATATTAGGAATTCGTGCTTTTTCTTTCGGTGGGCATCTTGGCGACTCTGGCGCCCAATCGGGATCAATGGGCCGTTTTGGAAGCCTTGGGATTCCGTTGCAGCGGACTCCGCGCGTCTTCGCGCCGTCGTTCGCACGCCGCGGGAGCGACGCGGAGGCATTTGAACCATGCGAAGAGTAGTGTGCAGAAGTTTTTGGAGGCCGTAGTTTTTCTTAATCCTCCTGTCCGTTGGGTCTTCGTTGAGAGCCCAGCCCGGAGCGCTGAACGCCTCATCTCTTGCTTTCCCCTCGTCTACCACCGCCTCTTCCTCCAGGCCGCTTCAGTCCGTCATCATCTATCATCTTCTCTCCTGCGTGGTCGGTCTTCGCTTAGGAGTCTCCGCCAATGCAGTTTCCGCGCACCTCTCGAACGATTCGTGGCCCCATAGGGCTTCGCCGAAGGCCCCTGTAGCACGGGCCGCCCCCTTCTGCCCGATGCCAATTCAGCGCGCACCCCGCGCGGTTCGCGGCTCCTGAAAAGACGTTGCACCGAAAATTCTTGCAGCAAAGGATGCGCGCCGCCGTCCAGACAACGTCAGCGCGCCCCTCGCTCGGTTCGCGGCCCCATAGGATAGTATTCCGAAGGCCTTCGCAGCGCAGTCCGCTTGCCGACGCCCAGACACCCCCCGCAAAGTTCGCGGCCCCATTTGGAGTTCCACCGAAGGTCTTTGCAGCGCAGGCCGCGTGCCGCCGCCCAGCCCACCCGAGTTCTTTATTCACGCGGCTTGTGGCCCCGAAAGGAGCCCCGCCGAAGCTTCTGGCAGCGCGGGCCGCATGCCGCCGCCCGGACTGCTTCAGGTCTTTATTCACACCGTTCGTGGCGCCATAGGAAGTTCAGCCGCGTTTTTTTTTTTGCTCCGCAGGCCGCGCGCCGCCGACCAGACATGTTCAACGCAATTTTTGCGCGCGCCGTGGCCTCGCGGTGGTTTGCGCCGAAGGCTTGCGTTGCGCGCGCCGCGCGTCGCCACCGACAGCAGTGCGGCGCTCTCTCACACGGCCCGTTGCTCCTCAGGATGCTACGCCGAAGGCTTCTGTCGCACAGGCTGCATGCCGCCGCCCAATCCAATCCAGCACCCCCCTCGCGCAGTTCGGTGCCCCATGGGGGGCTCGGCCGAAGTTTCTCGCCCCGGCGCAGGCCGCATGCCGTTGGCCAGACTATTTAAGTATATAGTTCTTGCAGTTCGGGGCCCCCGCACGGCACCCCGCCGAAGGCTTTTGTGGCGCAGGCCGCTTTGCGCTATGTGGACTATGTCAGCACGCCCTGACACGGTTCGTGGCCCCACATAGAACGTCACCACAGGGCTTTGGAAGCGCAGGCCGCTTGCCGCCGCCCAAACCATTGCAGTTTTTTCTTCATGCGGTTCGCGGAGTTATAGGGAGTTCCACCGAAGGCATTCGTAGCACAGGCCGCGCGCCGCCGCCCAGGCCATGTCAGCGCAGTCTTCGCCCGGCTCGTGGCCTCCAGGGGGGGTGGACCGAAGGTTTGTTTTGGCAGAGTCCGCATTCACGTTCGATGTGCTGGCGCGCGTCGCATCCGAATTGCGTTCTGAAAAACGGTTGGCTTCTTCGCAAGAGTGGGTATCGGTGACTATGCGCGGGGTTCGTCGTGAAGTTTTTCCGTGAACGTGTAGAACTGCGCCCCTAAGAGAAAACGAGTTTGGCGTTTGGACGGCCGGCAATGTAAGTCATGCCCAATTTGCAACGCGCAGTCTCTTGAGCTTAGCATGAGAAGTACCTTCACCGTCAGCCCCGATCTTGGGCAAGCCACGCGCGGCGGTGCAGACATTGACGGCAATACCTACTTCACCACTGGTATGCGTGAGGACCGCTTGTAATGGCACACGCCTGCAGAGCGCGCAACAAAACACATTTTGTTGCATCGCTGCGCGACGTCAGTAGTACATTGTGGACCAGCCACAAACATTACATGATAGCAACACCGTAACACATGATGCAGCCAGCCCTGACTACCCTCGGAGGACGCGGTGGGTTCGGTCCCGATTGCTTGGTGGTTACTCATGCAAGTTGCGCTGCTGCGTCAAATGGTTTAACAGCACAAACCTCTGGCCCACGAACTTCACGCACTTGCTGTACTGCTCGTTTGTGTTGACAAACCTGTGGCCACCGATCTCAGCGGGTTGGGCGGTCGAGCACGACGTAGGATTGCATCGATCGTCCGAGGCTGCGGCGCACGTGAATCAGTTTTAGTGAAGACAGGCATCCACGAGGCAGAGCATGGCCTGCACTGAGTGCAGCACGACTGGCTGTGGCTGGGTTCGGGCCACAACGGCTACAAGTGAGGAGGGGGGGAGATTGGCGGAGTGTGTGTTTCAGTTTTTTAGGCGTAGCTGCTTTTGGGGGCGGCTACTCGCCATTGCGCCAGGTTTGTCCCTGGGTGTCGTTGTTTGGTTCAAGGGGCCCCGCCGCGTCTCGCGCGTGGACTTCGTCGCCACGGCCGCATTCGTCTCGACCTCCTAGTCGGAGCGCGCCCCGGGTCATGTATGAGGGCAGTCGTTTGATTGGGCTGCGGTGGCGGCGATGATCAGCGGTGCGTCCGTGGGTGCGCTGGCGAAGATGCCGATTTTGATAGTGATCGTGACGCGATTGATAAGCAGTGATATTACTTGTGGCGGTGATGATGATGACGGTGTTCAGCGCGCTGTATCCTCGCTCGCTTTCTCTGGGGGATCTGCTCTCACCTCCCAGAGTCGCGTGCATCTTCGTGCTAGCGGACGGCCAAGTCCAGTTCCTGCTGCGCGCGCACGCCAGGTTCCGCCCTGAAGGGGCCCCAAACGCCAATAAGCCGCACGGTGCACTTAGGAGCTGATCCAAATCCAAGATGGCGAATCGGGATACATTGCCATGCGGGAGCGAACGCGCGCTGCTGAGAGCGCCCCCCCCCCCCCCCCTCGCCTCGACCCCCCTCCCTCTCATCGCCGTGCCACCAGTTTAACGTTGCAGAGGGGTGGCCCCCAGTAATCTCAAGGATGGGGGCTCACTTAGTTTTCTGCGCTTTGGACGCGGCAGCTTCGACAGCGGCATTCGGGGCTGGGGCCGGCGCGCTCACGAGGGGCTCGCCAGCGTTGACGCCCTTGGGATTCACGGGAACTGGGATGGGCGGCTCGGTCTCGCACGCAGTCGAGCCCGCGCGGGCGCCCCCATATTCACATCGGCCTTGTCCGAGGTTGGCGCGCCAAAAAAAAAACAAGACCGCGAATTGAGGGGGCTCGTTCTGGGGCCCGCTCAATTCGCAACTCCGCGCGGCATGCACTTTTATATCCTAGGCGGGCGGGGCGCACGGGATTTCAACCAAACCGCCCGACAGTTAAGCGGCGACGTTCGCGCTGGCGCCCAGGGGTGCGAGCGCGGCCCTTCGCGCGGGGAGTAGCGGCCTCCACGCCGAGGGTCTCCTTGCCCAGCGCCGCGGTGCGTGGCTGGCCACCCGCGCGGTGGGCGCGCGGATCGGCGAGGGCCTGCCGAACCTGGCAACGGGGGGACCGCCGCTTCACCGCGCGTCTCGGTCTGTCACAGGATAAAGGGGGCTCTGAGAGTAAAAGAGTGTAAGAGAGAGGGCGGAGGGTACTTTATGCACGCACACCAGAACTCTCGGCGACTCAAAGGGGAGAGTCGCCTCCCAAGCCAAAATGGCTGTGCACTACTGCAGGACACATAGGGGAGAGAGAGAGAGAGAGAGAGAGAGAGAGAGAGAAAGGAACCCGGGACCCACGACGAGCCGGGTGACGATGACAGCGGACCCAACTTTAGTGGGTCCTGCAGCTCGAAGGCGAGGAAGGCGGGCGCTCCCGGCCCCTCGCGCCTGGCCTGCAGGCGGCCGCCGCCGGCGATCTGCGGGGGGCGCCGGCCTGCCTCGGGCTCCTCCCGCCGCTCTCCTCCTCTCCTTCTGTCCTTCTCCGCCTCCTCTCCTGCCTCACTCCTCTTCCTCCTCAGAGCTTCCTCGTCCTCCTCTGCCTCTACCTCCTCCTCCTCCTCCTCTTCCCTCCTCGGGGTGACCTTCGCGCCGCTCCCCTGAGGCGCGCCCTCCTCCTCCTCATCCCTCCTTCTAGCCTCCTCAAGGAGGGCCTTACGACTGGCCCCTCGGGACCGGGACTTGAGGGACAGGTTGAGCGAGCGCTCATCGAGGTGCCCGCCCTCGTCGACCAGGCACAATGTGCCTCGACAGAGTAGGTCATGCAACGCCAGGTTACTCTTGGCCGGGTCCGCATGCGTAAGCGGATCCGCCGGCATACGTCCATGGGGCAGCCACCGAATTTGGGACCCCATGGAACTCAAGGAGTCCCGAACCACAGCGAGTTCCACCGCATTCCTACGGTCGGACCGGGACCCGGCGGCATTCTTGCTGAGAGTGTCGAACACTGACTTCGCGTCCACCACGGCCAAGGACGCAGCTCGACTGCCCAACTCACAGGATGAGGACATCACGACAGAAAAGGGAGCCGCGCTCAGGTGCCAGGCAGGTTTCTGAACGTCCCCGAACACCGCATCCCGCCACAACACTTGAAGATACTGAGCCTCGGCCACGGCACTACTCAAGGCCAACGTTTCGGCGGCAACGGTGGAGCTGATAACTCTTTTGAGTCTCTGGGAGCGCCAAGACAAGAGCGAGACCCTGGCCCGGCGATTGGCCCGGATGGAGGCGTCTGCGGCCATGACCAGCCACGCGCCCTGGGACCCTCCTCGACTAGCCGACCCCGGGCCAGAGGCATCAGACGCCGTCACAAAGACAAGGGAAACGGGGTCGAGAGCCCAGATCGTCAGCCTCTGGGAAGCCGTGGCCTTCAGAAACTTACAAACCTTGCCCAGCAACAACGCATGAGACACCAGCGGCGTGGGCATGGCTCCGGCCAGGATCGACGCGGCTCCCGCCACGTCGGGACGCGACTCTCTGGCCACCCATTGCACCTGAGCCACCACCGCCCGATACGACTTGACCTCAGCCGCTGAAAGAGGGGACTCGGGATCGCTGCGACGAGATCGATCGAGAGGCATCACAGTCAACTGTTCCCGAATGTATTTTTCTTGATCGATGGTGATACGATCCTGGAACTGGCGAAGATGACGCCCAGCGAACTCCGAGTCCGACTGACACCACTTCCCGAAACGGAACCTCGCCGTGGCTTTCTCCTTGAAGTTCGCTAAAAAGGCGGGACCCCCGGACACGATGAGGTCGTCCACCTCAATGAGCACGGAACCCTCGAGCTTGCCCCAGCGGCTCCTTTTCAGCCGCAGGCACGGTTCCAAGAGAGATTTGGTAAAACCTTCCCCGACGAGCCAGTCAGTCAGAGTGCGATGCCACAGAAGCGGGGCATCGTTGAGACCATATACGGGCGCCACCAGTTCTATCAACTGATCGGGGCCTATAGGCAACCCGGAGCACGGCTCAACGAAAATCGCGCCACGGGGGCGCTCCAGTCGCTGGCTCTGGCAGAAAGCATTCTTTGCGTCCGCGATGGTCAAAGTCCATCCAAACGAAGCAGCAATCTGCAAACACATGAGCACACTCTCAGACTGAGGCGTGGGAGCGTAGACCTCTAGGGTCTCGGAATCGGGATCCTGATGCCCATGGACGCACCATCGTGATTTCGGCTCGGGGAGTGAGCCCACCCCCTGGACCGGTTTCAGCCTCCGCACCATCCGAGAAGACAAAATGCGGTCGGGAAATCGACGCCGAGCCGAGACCGACTCCTCGGGCGACAGCACGCGCACCGCGCCCGTCGCCAGCATCGCAGCCCATTCCTTGGCGTCTGACTCAGAGAACCGAGCGCGATCGGCCGGGGATAAGTCCTTGAGCCGAACCTCGGCCCCACGGGGATTGATCTTAGGCTGAGTCTTGTCAGACGCCGCGGTCGGGTACGACAGCTCTTCACCTAAGCTGCTCAAAAAGAAGCTGGCCAGATCCGGAGCGCCCCGCACCGCCGACCATTCGAGGAGCTCCTGAACCAAAAAGTCATCCTGCTCTTCGTCGGGGGCGTCCCAGTCGCTCTCGCTTCCGCCGTCTCCCACGCCTTCCTCGCCGGCATCCGTACTCCCGCCAGCCTCCCCGGCCTTTCCGCCGAACGCCGCCAAGGACTCGGACGCCTCTGGGCGAGCGGCCGGAGACCGGCTCCTGCCAGACGGTCGGGCGGCTGGGGCCTCCGAAGACGCTCGAGCGCCGGATGAAAGGCGAGCCCGGGGGACAGAGATGTCCCTCCCGGACCCCAAGGCTCGTGCTGGAGGCGGCCGCTCTCTAGCCATGGGAACGTCCTGAGTCGGGACCTCCGGCTCGGGGCGAGAGAGCGGCTCGACACTCGCGGGAACAACACTGGCAGCGGACCCTCCAGCTGGAGGGGAAGGCGCCAACCCAGTCTGGGCAGCGGCGGACTCACTTGGCGAGCCCTGAATGGCTGCCACTCGCTGCATGACGGACGGCCCTTGGGGATACTCTTCTATCGGGGTCAGACGCGATCTCTTCTCCTGAGGTCCTGGATCCTGGGAGGCCCTGGGCCCTCCTCGAGACTCTGAGGGAGCCCCAAGCTCGGAACCCGGGTCCGATGGGGCGGAGCCCGCGATCGGAACCAGAGAGCCGGCGGGTCCGGACGGAACGCGGGCACCCTGAGACACCACGGAGGGGGCCTGGGACACCGGTCCCCGGGGAGGGATCGACAGCTGCTGCCTCACCGAGGACGCCTCCGGGGGTGCCGAGTCGGGAGCGTCATTCGCCTCCGGGGGAGGGGGCCCTTCCGCCGTGACGTCCACGGCACCCGATCTCTTGCCGGGAGAGCGGATATCTTCACGCAACCGATCAAACGCAGCACTGTCCAGAAGCTCCGCCCCCAAGGACTCCGAACGAGTGGCGAGGCGCACCTGCTCAGCGGTACACTTGAGCAGCTTGGCCCTCATGGCCACCCAAACGGTGCCACCACCCTTACTCCCACCGGCACCTGAGGACTGATAAATTACAACCCCTGGCCCCGTCCACCTGTCACGCTGGAGAGAGTGCGAACGGTTCGACGCGGTGATTCTCCTGAACACGTAGACCCAGTCCCCGGGCCTGAACTCGCGCTCCTGGTGGGGACGAGCTCGAGACGCCTCAGCAAGCCTAGATCGCGCGTCCAAGCTGGCGAGCGCCTTCCGAGCCTCTTCGCGGATCCGATGCTGCCGGGCAAACTCACCAGCAGCCGAATCCAGGTCCACAGCCCGAGCAGAGACATCATCCGAGCCGATCAGATCGACGGGGTCATCGGACAAGAGACTTCGAGGGATCCGGGGATTTTGTCCAAAAACGAGTTGCGACGGACTGAACCCTCCACGATGAAACCCCCGATTTTTGCTCGCGACCACCTCACAAAGGAGGAGGTCAGTCTCCTCCCGGGACTTGGGGCTGACCGACTGAGCGGCCTTCGAGAGGGCCTCCTTAACCAAACCTCCGTGACGCTCGCACTTGCCGTTCTGATGCGGGGAGTTGGCTGGAATAACGTGCTGCATCACCCCAAGATGCTCGCAGCCGCGCGCGAACAAACCTTCAAATTCCCCGCCCCCGTCACACATCAGAACCTCAGGGGCCCCGAAAGGCCTCACCCACCATCTCAAAAAGGCGGCCCACACGGTCTTCGCCGTGTCGTCCGAGAGGAGAGCGCACTGCTGGAACGATGTCCCGTGATCGATAATATTCATCACTGGGGTGCTCTTTCCTTCGATATCAAGATAGAACAAATCGATCGCTGTCACCTTATTGAAGGCGTAGGTATGTGGCAGGTGCGCTTTCCGTCTCCAACTGGCCCTAGTGTGCGAGGCACACTGGTCGCATTTAAACTCATCTCTGACCCAGGCCAACACCTCTAGGCGGGCTCCAGCCACCCGCAGAGCACGAAGAAAATCCTCAGTGGAGGGGTGGCCTAGATTCACATGGAGGCGTGCAACCTCCTGCTGCAGGGCGAGGTCCAGGGAGGCTTGTTTCCCAGGTCCCCGGGCACCAGGCTTGCCTTCCACCGAACCCGGAGAGGGCTTTCGAAAATCCTCCTCGTCCGAAACCTGAGGGTCGGCTTCCTCGGTCGGAAACGTCCAAATCTCGGCCTCAGAGGCCTCACCTTCCGGAAAGAGCGTCCCTGAACCCACCTCACGCGCTCGTGAGCGCTGGCGGTGAAAAGCCAGAGCTCCATCCTCGACTCCGGACGCGAGGCTACTGACCAGCTCGGGCGGGAAGCTCTCCGCCGCGTGAGTCCTGGCGCCGCCGAGAAGGGGGACATGCTCATGCTTCTTGCTGCATCGACGCTGGCAGTGGGCCAGTAGGGGGGGGGAGTTGGACATCACTCTCGTAGGCTTCTTAGCCGGACCGAGGTCCCCGACCCGCAACCCGTACATGCACTGATCCAGCTTAGAGACCGAAACCTCGGGTTTTTCGCACAGCACTCGCACGCACTCCAGGTGCCAGGAGCTGGCAGTGTCAGGATGCTCAAGGGCAAAGAACCGTCCGTGAGCCATTTGGTACTCAGCCACTTTCATACAGAGGTGCATCGCAGCAAGACCCAACTCCTCCTCTTCCTTCTCACGCGTCGGATCCATCCGCCCCCAATTGGAGGCTCGAGGCGCACTGAAAGCTTTGCACATAGGCGTCATGAGGACGTAGAGCGGCTGTTCCTCCCGGAGCTGCCGCCACAAACGAGCCCCACCCTCGGGAGATAGAAGATCGGTGCCCAGAAGGATATCTAGAGGCTCCGAGACGCTATGTCCCCGGCGCCGCAGTTCTGCTGTGACCTTAGACGGACTAAAGATTTCGAGAGCTAAGGTCCCGCCTCTCTGAGCCTCCCGCACCTTCACCATCTGGCGACGAGCCTTGCGGCCCGACCTAAGCCCCACGCCCCCTAAGGCACGGGCGGCAGCTTCGCGTACTTGTCGGGGCACCGACGGGACCGCGGGAGCGACAGCTAGACGGTCATCTAAGGCCGCCGCTGTGAAGCGGTCCTCCTCAACCACGGTCACCTCCTCCACCTTCTCCGACCTCCTCTCCTCGTCCTCCGCTTCTCCTCTCGGCTCGCCCTTTTCGCACCAAAAAGTCACCTGGAGCACGGACTTCAAAGTCGATTCGAGAGCGCTACTTACCTCAGAGGCCCCAGAAGCGGCCCAAAGACCGGAGAAGAGCACGGAATCTCTGAGACCTCGAATCTCGAGCCATCTCGGTTCGGAGGGGATAGACGGGCCCGGAGGCTCCTCACCGTTGGCAGCGAGCGCAAGGCCCACGAAGAAGGCTGAGCGCTCGGGCGGGCTTAGGCGAACCGGAGTCCACCCTTGACTCTGGCATGCCTGGAGAGGGCTGAGGAAGGTACCTGAGCTTTCACCCCCAAATCCGAGAACCTCCCTGGAGTTTTGCCGAAACCGGGGGGTCCCACGGAACCTGTTCAGGTAGGTAGCCAGATCCTTGAGGAAGATGTCGCAAGGATCGCGACTGAGCAAAGAGCGGCAGGCCACCTCATCCTGCCTCGCCGGGAGGACCTCGATCACTCGCCGGTAGCGCCGTCCTCCTCCTTCACTGCGGGCAAGTAGCCTGCCGGATCCCTTCCCGACGAGATTGCTTGCACCATCGTCGCCATGCGAATGATGTCCGAGTCTTGGATCGCAGCCGGGCGGCTCGCGATCTCGGCCATCGTGGTCTCCGTCCAGGCCTTCTGGTCTGCGATCATGTTGCGCAAGTTCAGGAACGTCAGCTCGTTGTCGCGGCGCTGGGAGTCCAGCACGGTCGTCATGTCGTGGAGGGCCCTCTGCATCTCGGTCACCGTCATCGGCCGCGAGCCCGGAGGACTCGCACTGGACGATCCCGTCGCCTTCGGGACGGCCCCGAGCTCCATCGAGAGCGGAGGAGGCTTTGCCGGGATGTAGCCCTCGCCGTACTTGACCATCGGGACCTTGAACTCCTCGGGCTCCTTCTTCGCGCCGCTCTTCCTCGTAGGCGGTGGGACCGGCATCGGGGCCACCGGCGACTCCTGCCAGGGGTCGACACCGGCGTCGAACGCCCGGACCTTGGCCTTGCACTCGTCCTTGTACTTGAGCTTGATCGCCTTCTTCTTCTCTATCGCGGTCCTCCGCTGGCGGCGCTCCTCCTTCTCGGCCTCCGTGAACTTCGTGAAGCCCAGCTGGAGAGTGCAGGCCGTGCACTTGACGTAGGTGCCGCGCTGGTTCTCCCCCTGCCACCTCGAGTGAAGAGGATGAAAGCATTCTTCCGGAGGCACCCGCTCGGCGATCAGATTCGGCATGAGCGTCGTCGTGAGGAGAACCTGCGTGCAGGCGTGCGTGTGCCAGAACATCCGGAGCACGATCCTGCGCCAGCGCCTGCACGCGAGCTTCAGGTCCATCCAGCCGTTCACGAACCAGATCTCCTCCTGCTCGCTCATGGCCTCCAGGGTCAGCACCGCCTCCAGGTCCGTGTCGGGCTCCCGCTCCTGCTCCGACGGCAGCTCCTCCCAGTCGTCCATCTCCGTGTCCTTCGCTCCGTTCTCGAGCGCATTCGAGGCCCTCGTACGAAGCGAGCTCAGGCCGAAGCGCACCTTGCGGCCTGCCTTCGTCGCGGCCTTCCCTGAATGTGGAGAGCGGCCGCGCTGCACCACCTTCCTGCCGACGGCCGGCCGTCCACCGCTCGAGGACATCGAGCACGCTGCGCCCTCGTCGGCTGCAAACGGGAAGGCACGCCTCCTCCTCTGCTCGAGCCAATCTCTCCGGACATGGGGGATTGGGTCCGCCGTGTCGCAACCCCCTCGGGCCCCCGCTCGGAGTAGAAGGAGAGGGAGGGGGACTGAAGACAGCGCTGGGACCCGAGCCGGTCCTAC